AATTATCTCTTGGTATACTTTTCCTTTAAAAAATGATAGATATAGGAGAGGACATGACCTCTTGTAGCAAGATTAAATTATCTCTTGGTATACTTTTCCTTTAAAAAATGATAGATATAGTAGAGGAGCAAAGCTAATTCAAAGTCATATAAAATGAATTGAAAATCACTACTATATAAAAGCGATATATTTGTCTGGTCTTGCGAAAGGGATTTTATATTGGAATTGTATACGATGAGGCCATTTACCATTGGTACAGAGAGGTCATGATTATTTATAACCATCCGATATGAAATTTGATAGCTTGGGCGTGTCATATAGTTTGAGAAAATTTTTTTTGAACTTTGAGCTCGGTCAATGAAATAAATGCAGCTACCCAATTTCACATCCAATGATCAAGATTAACTGTGACCACCTTGTATCAAAAGTAAATGGTCTCATTATATATTTTCCCTATTATATTTGTTTATTGTCTTGCAAGAAGGCAATTCCAAACCTTAATAAAAGCATGGGGATGAAAATAACTCGGAGATAATTTTGATGAAAATAACTCGGAGATAATTTATGGAAAAAAAAAACATATACCCGATGTTTTAGATCATTTTAGCACTCTTAAAAAATTAGTTGCTTTTGTTTGTTGAAGATAATTTCAAATAAAAGATAACTAAAAAATCATTTTTAATACTTTCGAAAACTTTACCTTTTCTTTTGGATCTCCTCCAATATCTCAAATTGCTTTACTCTCCCATCCATTTTTCTATACATTTCTTCTACCATGAATTCTTTAATTTGTATATCCATTTTTCGTACAATGAATTCCTAATACATGCAGTTATGGATTTTATAATCCATTTGTTTAAAATGTATTCATACAAGGTGCAATCATAGGGTTTAAATGGGTGTGCACGGCATGAATGTTTTTAACAAAGAAGCATTTAATCAAAATCACGTCAAAATTGTGTATAGTCATGAAAAAAAAGCATGACTACCAATCATTCTAGAGAGATGTTGGATTGGGTAGATGGACGGTCGAGTTTAAGATCAAATACTAGATCAATGGCCAAGATTGTTTGTCAGCAAGTGGCCATCATCATTCACTAAATTGTCGGAAATCAAACTTGTAACACCGTTGGAAATCTCATGAGGGCTGGAGTTACAGAAACACGTGAGACCAGTAAACCAGATCAAAACACAGGAAACTAGTAAACCAGGTCAAAAGTAACCAGCATCTGCTCTTGATTAAGTGGCTAGAGCAAAATGATGGTTGTCTTCTTGATTATTTTGGGTTAGTAAAATGGAAGGTACTTGTTTTTATTGTAAACACTCTTCGGTTTTCTTATCAGTACTGGCGTTCTATTTTCCCATCACTTAGTTCAGTATTCAGTTCATTTAGCTCGAGCTACTTAGGTAGGCTAAATTTTCAAAATGTCTTTAGCTAATTCAAACACAAACAAGGTCAATTGGATAATTCTTGACTTTTATTTTTTCTAGGTGGACGGACATGAGTGAAATGAAGCTTAAAAATTAAGAAAAATTATAGATATTCCAATTTGTACTTTTTGGGCATCCCTCCCTCCCACAATAAATATTTTTGATATCACACTATTAACAATCAATATTTTTTTTACGTCTACCCCCCCAAGCAAAAAAACTAACTTTTTAGACCAAAATGACCCCCCATTTTAACCCTATGTTTCAAAAAATATGACACCCAACATGTGCAGGTCTTGCACAAGACTAGCTTTTGACAAAAAGTGTCAGACAGGCTTCTGACAAAAGGTGCTGAACCGACTTCTATACTCACGTTGTATCGGAACGGCTTAGAGAGGGTGGGAAATGTGGGTTAAAATGGCGGTGTTTTGGTAAAAAAAATTCAACTTTTTTGCTTGAGGCTATAGATCTTTAAATAATTGGAGTTAATAATGTGGTATAAAAAATATTGGCATATATATAAAAGGTGTGATTTATATAAGGTTGCAACCTTAAACAATCTAATTAAGGCGCACCTCCAAATTTTATCATAATATGTAATGTTAGTGTAAAAAAGTATTAGGATTATCTTAAAATCTATTTTCATATATAATTATAAAATTCTAAACTCTAAAGATGGTTAAAATCAGGTAGATCTATAAGCATATGAAAATCTTGAAAATGGACAGTCTAGACAATGTTGTGCAAGATGCACTATTTTTGGGACTCAAAATCTTTTTCGTTTTTCATTTTTTTCATAGTCATACATCTCAATATCAAGATAATCAATTAGAGGGTTTTTGAGATGCATATGTAATTCTACATTTTAAGTTTCCAACCGTATATAAACTTTTTACATATATAAACGGTGTGGTTTCTATAAGGTTGCAATCTTAAACAATCCAATTAAGGTGCACCTCTAAAATTTATCATAACATGTCATTTTGGTGTTAAAAATTCTTATGATTATTTGAAAATATATTTTCATATCTCATTATAAAATTGTAAACTCTAAAAATAATTAAAATAAAGTTGATCTATAAGCATATGAAAATCTTGAAAATGAACTGTCTAGATAATGTGTTGCAATATGCATTATTTATGAGACTCAAAATCCCTTTTTTTTCTTCATATTCATACATCTTGATGTCGAGATGATAAATGAGTGGGTTTTTCAACATTAAAACAATTTTTGAAGTGCATATGTGATTTTACATTTTATGGTTGCAGCCTTATATAAATTTTCCTAAAATTAACTATTTAAAATGAAAGTCTTTTTTTTTGGGTAATTCAGTGGGGATGACGAGCCCCTACGCGTTTTTTAAAACGTTAGTAGTTTTTGAAGGTGTTAGATGAGAATGGAAGCTAAGACCTTAGCTGTGGCACAATTATTATAAAAAAATATAGTCGTTAGTGGTTTTTTAAGGTGTTAAGTGGTGTTAGGTGATAATAGGAGCCTAGATTTTAGCTAGGGCACAATTAGTGCTGTCACTACGACCCCAACCCCATTCTCAAAAAGTAGTAGGGTCATTAATGGCTTTTGAAAGCGTTAGGTGAGAATAAAAGCCAGAATAGAAGCTTAGACTTTAGCTGGGGCACAACTAATGCTACCACCACGACCCCAATCCCATTTTTAAAAAACCCCAATCCCATTCTCAAAAAGTGGTAGGGTCATTAGTGGCTTTTGAAAGCGTTAGGTAAGAATATAAGCCATAATAGAAGCTTAAACCTTAGCTGAGGCAAAAGTAATGCTACCACCACAACCCCAACCCTATTTTAAGTGGTTAGTGGTTTTTGAAGGCGATAGATAAGAATGGAAGCCTGGACCTTAGCTAGGGCACAAGTAGTGTTACCACTACGACTCCAACCCCATTCTAAAAAAGTGGTAAAGTCATTAGTGGCTTTTGAAAGTGTTAGGTGAGAATGGACGCTTAAACCATAGCTGGGGTACAAGTAGTGCTACCACCACAACCCTTGCCCCATTCTTAAAAAAGGGTGGTCAGTAGTTTTCTAATGCGTTAGGTGAGAATGGAAGCATAGACCCTAGCTGGGGTACAAATAGTGCTACCACCAATACCCAACCACATTCTAAAAAAGTGGCAAGTCAATGGGGATTTGCACCCGTACCCTTTAGTGAGAATGAAGTCAAAGACTTCACCATAGGGCTTGGCGATACTATCACCAAGGCCCCATATCATTATCGTATTTAAATCTAAAGTCGACTTATATAAACTGCACCCTCCATATTTCCCATTTTCTCTTTCCTTTTTTTCTAAGGAAAAAAGTTATACAAGGTTGACGCTTTAAAATATAGAAATAAGGTGCACTTTTACAATCAAGCAAAAAATGTTGTTATGACGTTGTAAATAATGTATAGATATGGAGACGAAATGAGATTTCAAGTCGTAAAAAATATAGCTTAAAAAGTATCATTTGGACCTTTTATTTTCAAGATTTTTATGTATTTATATATTTGTTTGATCTAAACTATTATTGGAGTTAAATTTTTTTATAATTATAAATAAAAATAAATTTTCATACCATTCGGAGAATTTTCGACATTAAAATTGCACCTCATGGCAAAGTCTGGAGCTGCACTTTAATTTGATCGTTTAAGGTTCAATGTTATGCAAACCACATCATTTTTTTCTAATGTAAGGCATTCTTTATATTCTATACCATCTAGCCATTTGAGAAAACGAACTTAGAGCCAGAGAGACGGGGTTGGGAGTTGCAGGTCGGTGTACTGGCGGACCAGGAGTTACAGGGCAGAAGGACCTGATGTCGCCTCAATGCCTCAAAGCGGGCCCTAACTGTCTTGACCTGACCCAAACCCGGCCTTGTTCGACCTGACCCATGACCAGGCCTCAAACCAATGTAATCATATTGCCTTCTCTTTCCCTAAAACAATCAAATTATACGGCTTGAGGCCCTATATTGAAAGGTATCACTTCTCCACTAAAATAACCAGAGAAAATTACGTGGTATATTTATTTTGTGGGGGTCAAGGCTCTAAACAATTAAAGTAGGGCGGACTTTCAAATAGTATCAACAGGTTTCAATACTAGAAACCATTGTGAAAGCTTTAAAATATATTTAATTATAAAATGCAAAGCTCCGACTTATAACTGGATGATTGTTTTTTTAAAAAAAATAGTTTTGAGCTCTTGAAGATGTCGATTATTCCTTCCAAAAATTGGATGGTTCCAATATAATCATCGGATAGGATTTCTTTTTGGGTGTACAAGGCAATAGAACATGCGGCATTAATGAGAAGACATATGGTGACTTATAACTTCACCAATAGTATATCTCTTGATAGAGCAGAATGACGAACCAAAATTCATGTAGTTAACCTTAAATAATTGTAAAAAAAAAACTTGATAATTGATGATAGTGAGGTTAGTTTCGGGGGCTCTAGGGACCGCTATCTCCAAAATATGGGACTAGAAGTATTGCCGGAAGGATTAGATAGATAGTGAACTCCCGCGGGAGTAGAAAAGAAGAAAATGACGATCCAAATAAGTAGGAATAAAAATCCACGGCCTGCCGGCCGATCCCAAACAAAGCCGAATCATTCCCGATCCAAATGCTCCACCGACCCCTCTCTTCTCTGAGACCATCCTGGTTCAAAACAATCCTTTCTCTGCCCCTCCACCCTTTCTCTCTCAACTCTTCTCTCTCTTCCATGGCAACTCCACGGTCCCAACCTCCCTCTACCGCAGCACCCCTCTCTCCCATCGAACCCGGCCGCACCCGCATCGGGTGGATCGGAACGGGCATCATGGGTGCCTCCATGTGCACCCGCATCCTCGCGGCGGGCTTCTCTGTCACGGTCTTCAACCGCACAGCCGCAAAGGCCCAACCCCTCGTCGCCCTCGGTGCGAATTACGGTCAGTCCCCTGCTGACGTTGCCGCCGCATCCGATGTCCTCTTCACCATGCTCGCCCTCCCCTCTGACGTGCGCTCCGCACTCCTTGACACTGCCCTCCCGAACCTCCCTCAAAATTCGGTCTCGGTAGACATGACCACCAGCGAACCAGCCCTCGCCTTGGAAATTGCCTCATTCGCGGCCGCCCGTGGCTGCGTCGCCCTCGACTGCCCCGTGTCTGGCGGCGACACCGGCGCACGCAATGGCACGCTTGCGATCTTTGCTGGTGGAGATGAGACCCAAATCCACCGGCTCGGCCCTCTCTTCAAGTGTCTGGGGACCGTACACTACATGGGTGGCCCGGGATTAGGGCAGCAAGCAAAGCTAGGCAATCAGGTCGCAATTGCTTCAACGATGGTTGGGATGGTCGAGAGCTTGATTTATGCTCACAAAGCGGGGCTCCATTTGGGCACATTCGTGCGTGCAATCGCCGGGGGAGCTGCTGGTTCTCGATCACTCGAATTGCATGGTTCGAGGGTTTTGAGGAGAGATATGGAGCCGGGGTTTATAGTCGAGCATTTTGTCAAGGATTTGGGGATCGCTCTGCGGGAGTGCGAGAGGATGGCGGTGTCGCTGCCGGGGCTAGCGTTGGCACAGCAGCTGTATGTGTCGCTGAAGGCCAACGGCGAGGGAAGGTTGGGGACGCAGGCGCTCGTCCTCGCACTCGAGAGGGTCAACAACACGCGATTGTCGGGGCCATGACGGACTGTAACTCTCTCTCACATGTCATCATTAAAGCTTACTGGTCTATCTCTCTCAAGTAATGACATGGCACCTCTCTCTGGGAATCAGATGGGTATGGGAATTCTCTTTGTTTTCTTCTCACCAGATAATTAGGATATGGGAAATTGTGGAAAAATAAGATGGTGGAGATTGGAGAGATGATCCATTTTCTGGATTAAGTTTTTTGAACTTATAATTAGTATACCAAGTGTTTGAAACTTTGTCAATAATGATTTCTATGCCTGTTATATCAAGTTTTGTAGCTGCTATCAAATTAGTACCCTGACTTATTTTTGAAAGTAATGCTAATTAAAAAAAGAAATGAGTTTTTGAAAGTAATGCTAATTAAAAATAAAAATATATGAGTGCTCTGTGAAGTGGGTTATTATGCAAGTTTGGTGTCCAAACTCCAAACTTCAAACTCCTCTATTTTATGATCTTTTTATATTAGGGATCGTCTGCAAAGACTATTTACCGTTGGGTGCGGTTTCTATAAGGTTGAAACCTTAAACAATCCAATTAAGGCGCATCTCATAATTTTAACATGTAATTTTGTTGTATAAAATTCTTAGAAATATCTTAAAATCTATTTTCATATCTAATTAGAAAATTTTAAATTTACGAAAGGGTTAAAATCAAGTAGATCTATAAATATATGAAAATCTGGAAAATGGACGGTCTAGATAATGTGTTGCAATATGCATTATTTTTGAGACATTTTTTTTTTTTTTTTCATATTCATACATCTGGATATCGAGATGATCGATTAGAGGGTTTTTCAACATTAAAACAATATTTTCGATAGATTTTCGAGGTGCATGATTCTACATTTTAAGGTTGCAACCTTATATAAACTTTTCTTTTTACGTTTTGCATCAAGACGTCACAACTATTCCTACTTATTAGATCAAATTGGGTGGCTTGGGGTGAGTCTTATAGTTCGGATTTTTTTTTTGGAACTATGTGTCTAATCAATGACACTCTTACAACCAACCATTTTGAAATCTAAAGTACAAGAATGATTGTCATTGGCTTTTGCGGGCATTGTGCATATTTCGCATAATATCTACATCTTTATTGATATAGTAGCAACTGCTTGATTACGCATCTAATGGTTAAACGTGATTGTGATCTTTTTATACTAAAGATAAATGGTCTTGCTGTATACTTTCTTTTTATGTAAATCGATATCGGTAGAATATAAGAAGATCCATCTTCCTTGAAAACCTACACCAACCGTACTACACAGCAAAGGAGAAAGTGGCCCTCGTCTTTCTCAAAGTTGAAGTCAATTAAAGTTTGTAAATTTCATGACATTGCAAGTCATCCTCGATAAATTGGAGTGACTTGTTTTACACATCAAATGAGTGCCAACACAAGGGCAGAGTGATCTTCTTCCTTCCAAATTAAATTTGATCAATGGATATTTGATGGTATGCTGTACATATATTTATAAAACACACATTGCAAAGAACAAACCAAAATTTGGAAACTACACAAAATCAAACCCAATTTTGAGAAAAATAAATTGAAAAGCCTAGGTTTGCACGCGAGTGTTTCGCACCCATACCATGGACAGATATGTTAACATCTTGTGGAATACTTAGTAAAAAAAATTCCGACCACAAAAATGGCATTTTAGATATGTTTGTACCAATAGCAAGGGATCGAACTCCTACCTGAAGAATGACCAAGCAGCGGTCATTATAGAGGACCTCCCACATCACAAAACGGCGAATGCCGCGGTAAAGGGCTCCAAAATTGCTGAACCAAAGCTCACCCTTTCATTCATTGCAAGGCCACCAAATGGTTTCTTGTACCTCACCGGCATCACGTTCTCCTCCCTATTCGTGAACGGGAGGTTCCCGAATAGGTACATATGTAATGCTCTCAATGCTCCTCATCTTTGGTGAGAGGAACCTAGGATCCAGCCCATCAGTGTATCCATTCTCAGGACTAAAGACCTCCTTGTCCTCCTCATCAATGGGGCATCATCATCATTGTCGCTATTGACATCTTTATCCCTAAATTGACTGGCATGATGTGCTCCTTTCACCTACATGTTGGCCCATGCCACCTGCAAGCCTATCGTTTCCTCAATTGGCGGCGCTGATCCACCTCCCTCCCCCATCTTTTGTGCCACTTCTGCCACTTTAGCCCTCCTTTGCTGACCAACTGGCCTCTGTACATGCAGCTCAACTCGAGCAAAGCTGCAATACCATTGATGACCTCCTTGCTCGTCGATGCCTTGACTTCAATGTAGTCACTGATCAGGGTATCTCTTGCTGATAATGTGGCTTTGCCAATACCAACCCCATTGGTCGGCCTCGTCTAGTCTGTCTGCTCCTGTCCAGAGGGTGACTCCAGCATCATCAAAACCCTTTGTGGCCCTCTTCCTCTTCTCTAAGGGGCCTGTCCTCCCCGATGCGCCATTCCATGTCTCTCACTGGCACTGAGGACCTTCTCCCTAGTGCTCCTTTAGGCAACCTAGACAGAATATACCTTCTTGCTCCTGTATAGAATGATTAGTAGGAATGAGATCTATAGCATGGTTCATAATCATAGAAATGGGGCAGCATGCATAATCATATGTTATTAAGTGTGAGTCTCGGAATGAGGAAGCCTATAACCTAAGATTTTGATGTCTGAGAGAGTTATGGTATCTAATTAGTCAATCTATAAATTCTACAAGAAAAGGAAATAAAAGTAATGTTTTTTTTTGGCAGAAAATATTGTTCCGGAATTTTTCTGGATTCATTTTGAGTTGAGTGAGTTCCCTTTCGAGTCGAGATATTCCTCCTGTCGGACATGAGTCATTTTGCCCCCATTACTGGTCGAGCGATTTTGTGGAACACGTTGCAGGGCCCGGCATGCATCAAATATCAGAAAATTATTGATGTTAGGTCCGCTAAAAGCTAAAGCTGAAGAAACAAAACACAACAAAGAAGTGATTGTACAAACAGTTGGAGATGGTTTCACATTATGATCACTCTCTTTGGGATACTGTCACCCCCAATCAATATTTCCCTTTAATCGTGTGGTGGTGAAGATAGCACCACCACACAACTGGATCAGGGGTGAGCACTCTGAGCTTCTCATACTTTTCCCACCCTAAAATACTTCTAGATTTACAGTAAGCTTTTGATTTACCGCAAGGAAAAACAGAAAACAAAGAATGACAAATAGAGAGGATCACAAAAACAAAAGAGAGAAAATAGAAGGATTTGAAAACCAACAACCACACAAGCAGTAGGGATATTTGAGAGAGAGGGAGAGAGAATTCAAAGTTATTATGCAAAGTAAGAGAGAGAAACTGCTGGCCAAGCGTCCGTGTTTGTTTTCAAGAACATAAAACGCCATCACCTAGAGTGGCCCAAGGCTCCTACTCTTCTAATCCCCATAGCTTCAAGAGCACTACCACATAAAAACTGGTTTTCGTCTTTTGAATTGACTCCTTGAATGATTTGATCGGGAGAGAGTATTAAATGAGGTTTGATCTACATTGATTCTATTGACTAAGCTCAAAGTTCAAAAGTAATTTTTTTGAAATTTGTGATGCAAGTAAGCTATCAGATTTCACATTGAATTGTTATAAACAATTGTGACGTCTTTGCTCCAAAAGTAAATAATTTCATTATACACAAATCCATGTAATAATACTAGGATTATATTTCGTTTGATGAATTTTTTTGAGTAATTCAACAGTAGGAATCAAACTTAAAATGTAATATTGCAAATGTCATTGGCTACCCAAGCATTTTCTTCAAAAACACAAATTGTCTTCTTTTTTTTTATAAAAGAAATTGAAGTCAAACCTTCTAATAAATTTAAAAAATGGAGTCTCTTATTGAAAATCATTTTCTTTTTGGGTAATTTAGTGGGGAAGACAAGCCCTTACCCGTTTTTTCAATAGATTAAGGAGTTGCTTTCTTCGGTAAAACCCTATTATAGGCTATTGCGAATTATATGCCCTGGGAGCGTATCCTAGATTCACACCATTGGATAGGACTATTTTCAGGACCAAAGTTTTGGGGATGGATCTCATCAACCTAGGTACCAAACTTCAAAAATTAATAAAAAATAAAATAAATCATCTACCCTATACATATGCCTAAAATAATAAGTTTCAAATATCAAGCTGCTCATTTTTTTTTATCGTCAGATCTAAGTATGTAGGAACTCAAAATCCGAAGTTTTTTTGGTTGGAAAGACTCAATTTTATTTTCATGAAAATACCAATCTAGTGATTCTAAAGTGAATTCCAAAATTTCAAATTGACTTTTCCTGTGGGGAGTAGATGTAGAGTTTTTATGGCAGCACGTTATATGCTCACGAAAATATTTTTGGGACCCCAAAATTTGAGGATTTGAGGATGTGATCTTGTTAACCTTGTGAACAACCTCTGAAACAAAATCACAGATAGAAATATCCAGCATGTATGTACCATAAAAAATGTTCGTCCTAATATTAAATGGAGACTTCTAATTTTTGGATGACTAAATCTAAGTATTTATCAACTAAAATGTGTTTGCCTAGGGCTATGTTAGGGCGTTCACATTATGGAATAATTTATCATTGTAATTAACAAATTTGGACATTAAATACTATTGTTTTGTAGATGATGTTTTTTTTTTAATAAGGGTATTTTTTGTCATTAGGATGGGTGTGACATAATCTACATAAGGTGTGACATCACCCACATGAAGCATTAAATGCCACTAGTGTACTCATGTGGGTGATGTCACACCTAATGTGGATGACGTTACACCCCTCCTATTGAAAAAAAATACCTTTATTAAAAATATGCTCCATATACACAACAAGGGTATAGAAGTGTCCAAAATTTACTGAGTACAATGATAAATTACTTCATAGCGTAAGCACTCTAATATAATCCTCATGAAAAAAATTACTCAAATCTAATTGTTTTAAAGTGGATTTGAGAGCTCCATGTCGAATAAATCCTCCTACGTAGCTTTTATTTAAAGGGAATACCTATATAATAGGAAAATATCTGCGTAGTTCCTATTTTTAGATTTCATTTATCAACAGACTCAATGTTTCAAAATATATATGGTGGCAAATATTCTATCGATTATATCTTCTAATCTCTAGATTAACTTTACCCATTTTAACCTCATCTTTTTAGTCCAAATAAATGTTATAAATGCATGCATTTTTAAACTCTTATCCCTCTCTTTTTCAATGTTTTTCCCCCAAACTTCTCTCTTTCTCTCTCTCCCCATGTTTCTCC